TCCTTCATTCTTCTCTTTTCGAATCAAATATATTATAAAATTTTTTAAATCCAACTAATAAATACTCTAGTCAACAAAACCAAATATTAATTAATTAACTAATTTGAAGTCTCTATCCATGTACAATAAGTCCAACAACAGCAAGTCATTATATAAAGTAAGGCTGCAAAGCTGGCAAATAACACTCTTACCAAATCGTGCAGATATAACAACGAATGATCTTTAAAATATGGTCCTGAACGGCTTAAGAATTAAGCCACAAACAGAAGAAAGCCACGTCCAGTACATATTATAGTACCCGCACAATGCAGGAACTAGCAAGCTATAAACATAATCCAAAAAGTAATTAATGGGGTTAAACTTAATTCATACTTGATCAGAATATATAAAGGGGTAGGCTTGAGATAGATTAGTCCAAAAGGAACAAAACAAAATAAGTAAAGTAATTAAGAAATAGATATTCAAAAAGTCTAATTAGTTTATGACGTTGTGTGCTGCTCCAATCCAATTAGCACAGTTTCCACGGACAAGTAGTAGTAATTAATTAATATTTATGCCATCAATGATAAATAGTGACTTTGAAAGTTGAAACAATTCAATGAATGAATGCCAAATATATATGAACTATTAATTTGTTTATTTAACTTATCGAGGTTTTCTTTAACTGTATGTAGGAATATAGCATATAATAAGGATTTTTTTCATTTAGTATAGAGTTAATGATGTGATTGTTGTATTTTTTTAATATCAATTAATATTCTAAAAAAAAGAATTTGATTATAAGTAGGATATTTCTTTTTGATTATAGTCATTATAACCTGTTTGATTATAATTAATTAGAAATAGAATTTGAGCGTCAGAGGGGCAGGCAAGGGAAGGCCTGATATTTTCAACAAATGAGGAATGCAAATACAATGTCAATACAAGTCGCTAATGGCTGATTTGTCATTTTATATCCAAGCTCAAACCTTGTAAAATGCAACTTTTCTTTTTAATAAATACTTTTCCTTTTGTTTTTTTATTTAATATTTATTTTTAGTTACCATAAAAGTTATGAGAGATAGACATTCTAAACTTCTAGCTAGAATTTTAAATTTCATTATTGAATCAAACCTTCAAATCCAATGATTTTTCTTCAAACTTTAAATATTTGAATTTAATTGGTCAATACTTCAACTCTCATCAACACTTTGAAAAAAAAAAAACCTCATCC